AGGAGGGGGGGGAGGAGAAGGTGTGATCCATTTTAGGCCCCGGGGGGCCGTTCTGGGGCCCAGGACCACGACATGGCGACTCGGGATGTAATCCAGATACCGCGGGAGGGGTCCAGACCTTCAGGGGTTCACGCTGTGAACAAATCACAGCGTCGGAGTTTGAGATATGCGGCAGTCAACCCGCATAGTAGGGATGAGCGACTTTCCAAGGTTACCCTTGCATCCTCCCTCTTCGGCCCATCCTTGGCCGCTTTCGCTGGCCGCGCCCCGCCCGCAAAGGGTCGACATGGCCTTCCAGGGCCCTTGCATCCTTGCCGTGCGTCCTTCTTCTACGGGTTGGCTGTATGCTACAACGGGGGACCATGGCAGGGGCCTTTCGGGACGCTGCCCCCGCTTGCCGCCAGCTATTCCCATCGGCCTGCCGGATTCAAGGAAGATGAACTCACGTATGATGGGCGAGTTTTCAACCACCACCACCACCATAGGTTGGAGGGGGTGGGGTCCTCCTCCTCCTCCTCGCCCTCCTCCTCCTTCCCCCCTCCGAATTATGGTGGTGGTGGTGGACAGGCTCATCAACGTAAGCATGCTGCTCTGGAGCTCAGCGCGGGCTTCGTGGAGCGGTGCTGTGGACCCCCCGGCGGCGCCTCCAGCGCCGCTCCCTGGCGCGCGCTGCGCGCCGCGCGCCCGGGATGGGGGTCCATCGCCGAGGCAAGGAACATCCTGCTCGGACCTCCTTCGGAGGTTGGGGTTTAGTCGGGTGTGTCCCTCTACAGGAGGAATGCGAAACAATAATCAAACATTAGTTTAGGGAGTATTTTCTGTCTATTTTTGATCATTTTTGGTGGCATGTTTTTGGCTATTTTTGATTTGTCCTCCAACATCCGCCTGTAGGGGGACATGCCTGACCTGAAGGTTGGGGGGTGAGACCGCAGTGGAGTCGGCGTCACCCAGGGGGCGACGCGCGCACCGAGAAATCTTATAGTATAATTATGCGTCGTGGCGGGCGCTTTCTGGCCACACCGCGCAGGAAACGATCTACTACAGGATGGGTATACTCTATGTTCGGGTCAGACGCTCGCCTCCAAGAAGGACATACAGTATTTGTATGTCTCTGTGCGTTCCATGGAACGGAGGGTCGCCCACCGGGAAATCGGTTTCGGTTTCGTGTTCGTGTCGTGCGTGCGGGCGAGGCGAAGCTGCGTGGATGCGCGAGAGGAGTGATCCCGCCGTCGCCAGGGCGATTCGGACGCAAGCGTCCTGCCCTTCGGTGGGCGTTCGGTGGCTGGGGGTGTCCCGCCGTGGTGTCCAGCGGTGTCCTGATGGTGTCCCGAAGAGTCCCGCAGTGTCCCGCCGTGGTGTCCCGACGGTGTCTCGAGGTTTGCAGTGGTATCCCGTGGTTTCCCGTGGTGTCCTGCGGTGTCCCAGTGGTGTCACGCGTTGTCCCGTGGTGTCCAGTGGTGTCCCGCCAGCTCGAGGGCGCGCCACCAGCATCGTCACCATCACACCCATCGCAGTCTCCAGCAGTTGGTTCTTTCCCCTCCCCCAACCTCCTTCTCACCCGAAGGGTGGTCGCACAGGTATGTTTGTGCTGCTTGTCTTCCCCTAGTGTTGGTGTTCCCGACTGTCCCTGGTGCCGACCTGTTGTTTTTGCAAGGCGGGGGTTTATCCATTAACCACCGCCTGGGGGAGAATCGATCCTCGAGGACATCGGCAGGCAGTGTATATAGATACATTCTGGCGGCGCGCACAGAAGGTTGGGGGGAGGGTGTAAGGCTTCTTAGAAGGAGGCTGCTTCTTAGCAGGCGCCGGCCCTACATCTGCAAACGAGGCCCGCGCCTTCTCAGAAGCAGCCTCCTTCCAAGAAACCTTCCCCCCTCCCCCTACCCCCCCTTCTGCGCGCCGCCAATCATGATGGGCTGATCTTCCACCACCACTACCATCGGTAGGAGAGGGGAGGGGGAGGGGGAGGGGGAGGAGGAGGAGGAGGAGGAGGAGGAGGAGGAGGAGGAGGAGGAGGAGGAGGAGGCCTCCCCGTCCTCCGCTCTCCCCCGTCCTATCGATGGTGGTGGTGGTGGAGAGTTGTTCCATCAGCAGCTTTGCATCCCCCCTCCTAGGGGCCACGCCGCGTTCTGAACTGCAGGTGCTGGCCGTGCAGTGCCGCGCCCTCGCGGCTCGCCGCGGGCGGCGGGCCGAGAGGCGGCGTGCACGGCACGCGTGCCCGCCCAGGAGGTGCGGCCGGTCTGATGGCTCCGCCGCGCTGCCGTGGTGCCCGGGGCCCTGTGCCCCCTGGTCTGGGGCCCTGGCTGTATCCGATCGTGGCCCGCGTGCGCGGGATGGGAGGAGGAGGAGGCGGAGGAGGAGGAGGAGGAGGCGGAGGAGGAGGAGGAGGAGGCGGAGGAGGAGGAGGAGGAGGAGGAGGAGGAGGGGGAGGAGGGGGAGGAGGAGGAGGAGGAGGAGGAGGAGGAGAGGATTGGGAGGAGGTCGGCTGCCCGCCGCCCGTGGTCCCACCGCGGCGCCCCCCTCGTGGCGAGCGGGGTCTGAGGCCTTCGCTGCCGCTGGCCGCTGCCGCGGGGCCACCGCCCGCGGGGGCCTCGTGTGGGGCTCGGGGCCTCGGCCGTTCCGTGGGCACGGGGAGGCCGCCTCTGCGACCTCCCTCGGCGCACCTGGCGAGCTCAGCAGGGGTGCCCCTCGAGGGCGCGACGCCGTTCGCGCTCCGCGCTTCGCGGTGCGGCTCCGCTTCGTCCTCGGCCTCCTCTTTTTCCCCTTGGTGGGCGGCGTGGGAGCGCGAAGTTTTTCGCGCTTTGCGCGGCGCGAAGCGCGAAGCGCGAAGTTAGGCGCCTCGGGTTCAAGTGAGCGACGGAAGAAAGCGGGCTCGTCTGCGCCGACATTGGCGTGTAAGCTGCCCGCGTAAGGTCGCGCATAAGCGCCCGCGTCTCCAGTGAAGCGTGCCGCGCTGGCGGCCCGCGTAAGCCGCCGCGTAGGGCCGCTGTGCCATCTCGCGTAATACTCGTCTTCGATCGTCGCTCAAGTCTGATCTTGCACGAGCAGATGGGAACGGAGATCATGGTTCGCCTGAGGGGCAGAAATGCTGGCGTCTATTCGTATCAGAACAGTTGGGCCCGAAGTCTTCCATGTCCACCGCCTGCCGATGTCCTCGAATATCGATCCCCAAGGCCGTGGTTATGGATAAATTCCTGTATCGGACTCTTTTTGTCGGCACTTTTCCTGGGTGTCCCCGCGCCCCATTGTTGCACCCCGCTGTCGTCCCCTCGAGCGATCGGAGGAGAGAGGATAGAAGACATGGAAGGTGTTGTTCGAATTCGATTGGCTTGTTGGTACAAAAGTCCACGGTGGGGCGAAGCACCATGCATTGGCTATCCTTCTTAAGCACGGTGGCTGACAAACTCCATCGTGAGATTGAAGGGAAATCTCCAGCGTCTTCCTTGTCTTTTGGAAGCGCCTATGTGGCCGAAAGTTGGGCTGGAGCTATCGGACGATGCGTTCCCCCACCTGTCGTTGAAACCTTTCGGGGAACACGCGAGGAATCTCCTGTCTGCGGGCGGTAGGTGGATTCATGCGGGCCTCCCTGGGCCTACAATGTCTAGTGGTCTTCGGCCCAACCCGCCATCGTGCCTTGGTTGCGGGTGAGAAGAGGCCTCTGGGATGTTCTTTGGGATCTCGTGGGAGGCCTCTTGGGGGCCTCCTTGAGGCAGTTTCGAGGCCTGTGGGGGGCTGTTTTGGGGCCTCCTGGGGCCTCTTCTGGGCAACTTGGGAGCCTCTCGGGGCGGACGGCTCGGATGTTCGGTTCGTGCTCCCCCTCTTCGGGGCCCCTCTGGGCCGCTCTTGGGGAGCCGTTCTGGGCGCCCCGTGCTTGGGCCGTCTTGGGGCCCGCTCGGGCCGTCTTGGGGCCCTCTTGTGGCCCTCTGGGGCCGTCTTTAGGCGGTCTCGGGGGCGGGCCTCTTGAGCTGTCCCGTAGCGTTGGACACTTTTAACATCGGTAGTCCTGAAGACATTGAGCATCATAAGGGAAGTCGACGTTTTTTGCTTCTTGGCGGCCTCTTGGGAAGGCTCTTGGCGGCCTCTTAGGACGTCGTGGACGCTTCTTCGACCGACGGGAGGCCATCTTGGGCGTCTTGGATGGACTGTTGGGCGGTTGGGGGCCTTCTTCGGCCGTCTCGTGGGCAGGTTGGGGCTCTCTGGGAGCCTCTTGGCGGCCCCAAGAACGTCGTGCGGGGACACGTCCCACTCCCCAGGCGCCACGCGACGAGCCCCAGAAGATGCGTGATTTTTGGGTCCTGGCCCCTCTCATAAATCCTCAGGATTGAGGACAGGGTTCAGGGACCAGGCCGAGGACCCGAGGACACTTCAACTCGTGCCTCGAGGGCACGGCGGCGGATATCCACATCCACCGCCTGCCGTGGTCCCAGGCCGGTTCCGCAGGCAGTGGAGGTAGACGTGCCCCCGCCTCGCAGTTCCTGCTTGGCCCGTCGAAAACGTCACGCACGGTCGGTGACTGAGATACATAAGGCCATACGCCGGCCGGAGAGCGCGTGGGCAGAAGGAAAACAGTGCCGGCAAAGACTCTCCGCACTGCTGGACCGGCTGCTTGTCGGCTTTCTCTCAAGTAGCACCGCGCGCGTCTTGAGGACGAGGAGGGAGAAGATCGGCGCCACCCCAACACAGTTATAATACAAAATGTGGTTCGTCCCCCCAGGGGCGTCGCGCGCACCGAGAAATCTCCTAGTATATAGCACCCCGCAGTTGCGGATAAGAGTAAGGGGGCGGCGGGGACGTCGGCAGTCTGCGAGGCTCTGAAGGAGCCCGCCGCAGGCGCAACATTTTTCAAGCTATAAATCGAGCCCGCCGCAGGCGCCGATTCTTTGTTACACAATATAGGTGGGTCGCGGGTGGGGTCGCAGGTGGGTCGCGGGCTGGGTCGCGGGTGGGTCGCGGGTGGGTCGCGGGTGGGTCGCGGGTTGGTCGCGGGTGGGTCGCGAGCGGGTCGCGGGGTGGGTCGCGGGTGGGTCGCGGCTGGGTCGCGGGGTGGGTCGCGGGTGGGTCGCGGGGTGGGTCGCGGGGTGGGTCGCGGGTGGGTCGCGGGCCAGATCGCGGGGGGGGGGGACGACGACAGTAAAGAACAACAGCAACAACAACAACCCAACAGGCAGAATCTTCACCACGGACCCGCACTTCAGCCACGCACCCAGGGACAATGAATGACCGTTCGGCCCCCTCACTCTGATGTGCGACGTGGCGGGCGCTTTCTGGCCGCACCGCTCGGGAAGCGGTATACTACAAGATGGGTATACGTAGCACCCCGCAGTTGCGGATAAGAGTGAGGAGGCGGCGGGGACGTCTGCAGTCTGCGAGGCTCTGAAGCAGCCCCCCGCAGGCGCACAATTGTTAAGCTACACAACGAGCCCGCCGCAGGCGCCGATTTTTTTTGAACAATGAATGTGGGTCGCGGGTTGGGTCGCAGGTTGGTCAGGGGTGGGTCGATGGTGTGTCGCGGGTGGGTCGCGGGATGGGTCGCGGGCGGGTCGCGGGGTGGGTCGCGGGTGGGTTGCGGGTGGGTCGCGGGCTGGGTCGCGGGTGGGTCGCGAGGTGGGTCGCGGGTGGGTCGCGGGCCGGGTCGCGGGGGGGACGACGACAACCCAACAGGCAGAATCTTCACTACGGATTCGTACTTCAGCCATGCACCCAGGGACAATGAATGATCGTTCGGCCCCTTCACTCTGACAATATATGTATGTGTGTACATATACATATATATATATATATGTAGTCATGTATTCATGTATATGTACATGCATATGTATGTGTGTTTGTATATGTATCTGTCTACGTATATGTATATATGTACATGTACACATATGATACGTGTATGTATATACACATGTATATGCTTAGGTATCAGTACACGTATATGGTTATGCATATGTATTGGTATATGTATATGTATACGTATATGCATGTGTATATGTATATAGATGTGTGTATATATAATTGCATTTGTATATGTATATATATGTACACGTTTGTATATGCATATGATTATTTATATTTATAGATGTCTCTCTCTATATATACACATACATGTATATGTATATGTGTATGTATATGTATATGTATATGTGTATGTATATGTAGATGTATATGTATATGTATGTGTACGTGTATATGTATATGTATATGTATATGTCTATATATAGGTTTATGTATATGTATAGGTATGTGAATGCGTATATGTACATACAGCTGTAGATGTCTATGTCAATGTCTATGCCTATGTGTATGTAATTGTTTATTTTTCTGTATAGGTATATGCATATTCATAGGCACATGCATATGTATATGTATACGTATATGTATATGTATATGTATATGTCTATGTATATGTATATGTATATGTATATGTATATGTATATGTATATGTCTATGTCTATGTCTATGTACATGCATATGTATATGTATATGTACATGTATACGTATGTGTATTTGCAACTGTATAATGTAATGTATTTATATATAGATATAGATGTACATCCACACCTACATGCATATATGCATATTCGGGTCGGGCGCGCGCCTCCGAGGAGGACATATAGTATTAGTATGTCTTTGTGCGTCCGATTCTGTCCCCAGAGGCCTGCGCGGATGTCTTCGATCGGCGTTCCACCCTCCTCTTCCTGGGAGCGCACCCAAGGCCGGCGCCGGGGACGCTCTGCTGGGAAGTCCTTTCTGCGGTGCGCACATCGGAGCATTCGCCACTGTTTGGCGGCGCCCACAAGGGGGTGGAGGGAGGGGGGAGGGCCTCTCAGAAGGAGGTTGCTTCCTAGAAAGCGTGAGGACGAGGGGGGAGAGGAGGCGAAGGAGGAGGAGGAGGTTGCAATGCTCCCCCGGAGAGGCAGACGGTCAACATGGCCGTCGACGCCTCCGCCGGCGTGGAGGCGGCCGCCAACGTCACCGCCGAGCAGCCGCGCACCGAGCGGCCCGTGGAGGCCGGCGCCCGCCGGGGGGGTGGGGGTGGGGGCGCCCCGCGAGCCTGGTTTTTGGCTGCTGTCGCGGGCGATGTGCCCCCCCTCCTCCTCCTCCTTCTCTTCCTCCTCCTCCTCCTCCTCCTCCTCCTCCTCCTGTCCTCCTCCTACTCCTGCTCCTCCTCCTCCTCCTCCTCCTCCTCCTCCTCCTCATCCTCCCTCCCCCTCCCCCTCCCCCTCCCCCTCCTCCCCCTCCTCCTCCTCCTTCCTCCTCCTTCTCCTCCTCCTTCTCCTCCTCCTCCTCCTTCCCCTCCCCCTCCCCCTGCAGCTCCCCCTCCCCCTCCCCCACCCCTCCTCACCTCCCCCTCTCCTCCTCCTCATCCTCCTCCAGCTCCCCCTCACCCTCCTCCCCCTCCTTCTTCTCCCCTCCTCCTCCTCCTCCTCCTCCCCTCCGCCTCCCTCCTCCTCCTCCTCCTCCTTCCTCCTCCTCCTCTCTCCTCCTCCTCCTCCATCCTCCTCCTCCCCCCCTCTCCTCCATCTCCCCCTCCCCTCCTCCCCCTCCTCCTCCTCCTTCTCCTCCTCTTCCTCCTCCTCCTCCTCCTCCGCATGCTCCAGAAGGCGTGTGATGTGGGAGGCGCCGCTGGAGAGGGGACGGCCCCTGGCTCCCAAGGGTGCGCGGTCCTGCGGGAGCCCGTAGGGCACACCGCGAACCCTGGCCTCTCTTGTAAGGACCAGGACCCTGAACGGCGTGAGGCCATTCGTCAGCGTCTCATCATGGAGCGTCGTCTTCGATTATACACTAACTTCTGGCTCCAGGACCCGAGTTTGTTGGATGAGCCCGCCAACCAAGATTACTGGATGCGCCTGTGTGTCACTTACGTTGCCGACTTGCTTACCCAGGGTGTTTACGATCCTCTCGTCTTGGAGCAGGCGGCTCGGGCTGGCATTGAGAAGTTGGCTGTTGTGAGGCGGGACATGGCGCGCGACATCTGTCTTTCGGCCTGGAGGTCCAGAAGGAGTGTGAGGGCTCGCTACCATAACAACATGCGTTTGCTCTCGCAGTCAGACCCTGATGCATGGGAAGAGGAACGTTGTCGCCACGCCCGTTCATTGATCCTCGCTGAGCGTGAGTTTGACACCTCCAATCGTGCCTCTGGCCCAGGCACTATCGTCGCTACTGGTGGATCGCCTGTCTCTGCTGCTGGGAATCCTGGTTCTACAGGCCCATTGGCCGCAGGGCAGTCGAACCCTTCCTTGCGGCCCACGGGGTTGGAGCAATCGCCTTGTGGTGCCCCGAGTGAATCAGGCGGTGGTCCTGTTTTGCTGGAGTCGCATGACGATGGGAGTCAGGGGCCTGGGCCCGACCCTGACAGTGACACCGCCCCACAGCGTTCCCTGTCCATTGTCTACTCCAACATCAGCGTGTGGGGCCCAACCGCTTGCAGGTGGGTTGCAGCATGCTCGGCAGACATCATCATTTTTGTCGAGCACAGGATGCGCGGTTCCAAGTACCAGGCGATGGCCAAGAAGCTGCACATTCTGGGCTGGAAGGTTGTGGCTCAGGCCGCTGAGCCCACGCTCGCTGATGATGCTTCGTCAGGTGTTCTGGTCGCCGCGCGTTCTCATCTTGGGCTCTCACAGTTAACATGCGAGGCGGGTGAGTGGACTACGGCTGGAACGGCTCGGTGGTTGATGTGTACCTTGAGGCTTCGGAAGGTTTCCCTCACCATTGTCCCTGTCTACTTGGTCACGGGGGGTGAGCTCAGCGGCCAGAACCTCGAGCTGCTGGCGGACCTCGGCGCCCATCTGAGCGCGGCTGGTGTTCCCGCCTTTGTGGTGGGCGACTGGCACGTTGGCCAGAGTGTGCTCGAGGAGTCAGGATGGCTGGGGCCTCTCGGCCTCGTCCCTGTTCCTATGCCTGGTGTTTCTGTCACGTGCACTGGGGTCGCCACCAGTCGGATCGATTGCGCCTTGGTCTCTGCTAGCTTCTCTAGTGCCGTCCAGTTTAGGTCGCTTGTTCCAGTGCCTTGGGGCACCCACGCCGCTTTGGAGTTTCAGGTTTTGGCTTCTCCCAGGGCCATCATGGTTTGGAAGGCCATGCGACCTAAGCCCATTCCTGTCAAAGGCGTAGCTGCCCCTGTTGAAGCCTGGCCGCACTTCCTGGTGCGCGCGCAGCTGCTGCGACGTCAGCGGCCAGACCTCTTAAAGGCCAACTATGCCGCTGCCAGCCTTCTCAAGCTCGAGCATGACAACATCCAGGTCTCTCTCGATTTAGGTGCCCAGTCTTCTACCTGGATTGTTGCTCTGGAGCTTCAGGCCTTTCCGAAGCTTGGTTTGGCCCGGGATCAGGTTTTCCGGTTTATAGGTCGTTGCCAGGAGCCCAGGTTTCGTTTGGTGCCCCTCGCGGCCGCCCAGGTTGAGGGGCCCCGCCAGGCAGACCGTGACGCCCGTTTCTGGCAAGCTGCCTTTGTCAAACTCAGGCTGTTGCTTAAGCTTGCCCCGCAGGATTCCTTAGAGGATATCCCGTCGCAGCCTGACCGTAAGCATGCAGTTCAATTCCGTGCCACTATGGCTTGGCTCTCTCGGCAGGTGCCACCTCCCCCGTCTGACCCTTCCGACGCGGGTCAGTGTGGAACCTTTAATTTGAGGAAGATCCGGTTTCAGCGTATTTCGGAGCTGCCTTTCGACGGGCTGCAAGACTTGCTAATTGACTTTCAGCATGTGTCTGAAAAATCCCACCGTGACGCCCTTCAGGCTCAGAAGGCCTCGTGGAAGGCCTGGCTCCAGGGGGCGCTTTGTAGGTCTGCGGGGCCTGCCCATCGGCTGTTGAAGCCACCCCTGGACCCTCTGGAGGCCGAAAAGATCGGTGAGGAAGGACCCTGCTCAGCTCTCGATCAGCTCCTGGAATTCGAAGCGGCCGCTTGGACGGCCATTTGGCAGCAGCGCGACAAGGGCGAGGCGCGGGCTGCGTTAGCTGCCCTGCGTAAGTGCGCTCGGTCGTCCCCGCGTTTGCCGCCAATCGACCTGGACACCCTTAATCGTGCGCTCAAGTCGTTGCCTGACTCCAGGGGTCAGGGCTTGGATTTTATTGAACCGCGCCTAATGAAGGAGGCTAGTGTTGAGGCCAAGCTCTACCTCATTCAGCTTCTAGAGTCCATTGGGGAGCAGTGCACTTTGCCCTTTCAGCAGCTATTTGCCTTGATCGCCCTCATTCCAAAGCCTGGCGGTGGAAAAAGGCCCATTGCGCTGCTCGGCTTTGTTTATACGCTTCTTTTGCGCATCAGGAAGCCTTTCATCACGGCTTGGGACCGTGGGGCGCACGGGCCCTGGGACCAGACTGTTGGGGGCTCGGTCGACGTGGCTGGTTGGCTTGACGAGCTTGAAACGGAGCTTGCCCTCCACGGCGGTTTCCAGGTCGGGGGCCTTTTGCTGGAAATGAAGAAGTATTACGACCAAGTCTGTCTTAAGGACTTGGTGGAAGCGGCCCGAGAATTAGATTGCCCACTCCGTTTGCTGGCCCTGGCCATCGATATCTACTTGGGTGTTCGGCATTTGTCGCTGGAAGGGGCTGTCCATCCTGGGATCCTGGCTCATGGGGGCATGTTGGCTGGGTGTGGCCAGGCCGCCTCCCTGGCGCGGGCTCACTTGTACCAACCCCTCGCAGGAGCCAATGGATCGGTCGGTGGCCTTAGGCTGCGGGAGTGGGTAGATGATATCTCAGCACGTCTTTTTGGCACGCATTCGTCCATCGTTGCTACGTTCCCCATCCTGCTCAGAGCCCTCCTCACTGGCCTCAGGAGGCGTCGCTGTGAGTTGTCCATGGGAAAGTCCCATGTGCTCGCGTCCTCGCCAGGCCTTCGGGCTGAGCTCTCCAGGATTGCTGTCAGTGAGGGCTGTGAGTTCTCGGCGGCCCTGGCCGCCAGGGACCTGGGGCACGACGCTGCTTTGGGCGCCAGAAGAACTGTGGCTGTCAGGCAGACCCGTTTCACCAAGGGGCGGGATGTCACTAGTGAGATTTTCAGTTTTGGGCGCACGTGCAGGTAAGCCAGTAAGTTGTTCTTTCCTAATGCCTATGCGAAGGCCATGTGGGCGCCCGAGGTTCACGGTGTCTCTCCCTCCATGCTCAAAGGCTTCCGCAGCATGGCGCGTGCCGCTAGCAAGACCCCGCAGAGAGGTGTGTGTGCCACAACCGCTATCCGTCTCACTTTTGGCTATGGCCAGGGCCCCCTCCAGGTGTACGTTCGGCGTGTCGTCAAATCGTGGTTTGTTCGCCTTGCGGGCCGCCCTGGGCTCCTCCGTCGCCTGGCCTGTCTCTGGGCGGCCTCCTTGGCCAGGGTCCGTAAAGGGTGGTCCTGGGTCCGTGGCCCGAGGGCGGCTTTTCAAGCCACGATGTTGGCGGTAGGATGGCAGTGCCCCTCACCTTTCACTCTCATTGCGCCTGGTGGTGACGAGTGGCAGATGATGGAGGACGGGCGCGGCCCGCTAGGCCCTCTTCTCGAGGCCTTTGGCGATTCCATCGACACCCTGCAGTGGCGCCAGGCTTCCGAGCACCTAGATGGCGCTGGAATCCAGGGGCCTGTCTCCCTTCATCATGTCTGGGACCTTTTGCTTCCCTCGAGAAGGATGGGCTTCGGGACCTCGCGGCTACGATTCGGCTCTTGGTCTCTGGAGGATATTGGACCGAGGAGAGAAGGCGCAAGGCCCAGATGGCTCCTGATCCCATTTGTAGGCGTTGCCAGCGTGACCCCGAGACCTCCAGCCACAGGTTTTGGGAGTGCATGTGTAATGCTTCGTCGCAGGTTCAGGAGATTGTTGACTCTCAGCACCTTAGGCACGGTGCCCAGCAGGAGGCTCTCCAGTTTCCGTGTTTCTGGATGCGTGGCCTTATTCCCCCCTCCTGGTTCAACCTCCCTCCCGTGCCTGTGTCCAGGGACCTCCAGGGGCGGCGTTGTCCTGGGGCCTTGCTTCCTGGCTGTCTGCCAGGAGGCCTTTATGCCACCGATGGCACGGGAGGGCAGTTTGCC